TTTTAGGTAAATTGATAAACAATCACCCTTTAGTTTTGTGTTGGATATATTGGGTAGTGAGAGTGTAATTTGGGTAAGACTTGTCTTGAGATTTAATTCTTCTTTCTTCATTTGTTTGGTTGAAAATTCAAAGGAAGTGAAAGTGAAGAGTTTGGCAGTTGTATTAATCGGTCCAAATATTATTATTTGTGTCGTGTGGGAGACAGAGGAATCAGCAAAACTATGAGAAGAGGAAAAGCAAGGAACTCTCCGATTTTTCGTGGAATATTATTCATTTTATTAAATGAATAAAATATTGTAGAAATTCAACGTTAATTATAAATTGCAACTTATATAAGAGATAGTCACGTAATATTGCCAGGTCTTTGTAAATAAAGCGGATTTAAAAAATAATAATAATAGAGCTATATATAAGTTTGGAATTATCCCCGACAGTGAATGATATAAGAGCTTCCAAATACAATTTACACTTGTAGGACGATATTTTATCAGGGATTTATGCAACTTCATCCGTCTCTATAGCTATAGCAACAAGATTCATAATTTAAGTGATCCATGAAAAAATTAAATTTGTGCCGATTTTATACTATATTCTTCAAAAGGGAAAAACTTAAAAAATGTTCAACATTATTTTAGAATGAATAAAAAAATAATTCTAAAGTTAAAACGAAGGAAATTGTGGTGAATAATTGGGGCATACTTAGCCGTGGAACGCACTTCGCAACCTTTGATGGTTCGTGCCCCGTAGTGCCCATGGGCTACTTTTCCGACTTCTACTAAAAAAATTATCTTTTAACTCAAAATTCACATTCCTCCCTACATCTATAAATGCCCCGATTGAATTTTCATTTCTCGACATAAATGAAAGATATTCAAGTGTTAGAACATTATCGTTTCACCAATGTTGCTATAAAACCAACTGGTTGGTTCCCTTATGGAACCAACAGCCAATGATTTTGCTCCATGTGGGAGTTGCTATAAAACCAACTGGTTGGTTCCCTTATGGAACCAACACCCAATGATTTTGCTTCATGTGGGTTGGTTCCATAAGGGAACCAACCAGTTGGTTTTATAGCAACATTGATCGTTTCACAGTATGTTGTGTCATTATTATTTCAATCAAAATTGACACCACTTTTTCCTTTTAATGACTTTAAAATTTTTAATATAAAATTTCACATATTATTTATATGAAATTCTTTACTTTTTTATAGATTAATATATTGTAGTTGTTGATTGGTCCTTTGACATTCATCGGAAAATCAAATATAAATGTTATTAATACTATACAAATATTATATCAAACAATACTCGATACATGCATGATGCATATAAAATCTTATAAAGGCGGTCTAAAAGGTTGTATAGTTTACTAAATAAATTATTTCACAATTAAAAGAATAATAAAAGGAATAATGAAGTTGAGCCTGTCCCCACAGGCGTATCACGTACGACACGCGTCTTTCATCAGTTTTAGCAGCCATGCCGTTAAGCCCTCGGAAACTACCTAGTCTTTGTGACGTGATGGGAGACATTAAACTTCAATTATTACAAGAATTATTTCAATCCAGTGAGAATGCGCTTAGTCCCGTCTTCTTTTTGTATCCTTCATCCCAACTTTAAAAGCGAATCAAAGTGAAGTCATAGAAACTTCTGACTTACTGGTTTGGGCTCCATTTTCTGTAGTTTCAACATCATTCGTCCTTTCGCTTAAGGGTTCTCTAAACTCAGGGCGTAACCAGAAAAAAAATAAAAAAATAAAAAAAAATTAAGACACAAACCGGTCCGTTGACCACGGGTCTTGAACCGACCAGTGATTTTGACCAGTCCGATTCATGTTCAATATTTTATAATTTATACATTTTCAACCGACGGTTTCAGTTCTGAATCGGAACCGAAGATTCGACTTTTTTAAAAAAAAATATTATTTTTTAATTATTTTTATTTTTTTTAATGAACCGGGCGGCCAAGAACCGACGGTTCAATGAACCAGCCCGTGTATATGTTCGAGCCGGTTCAGGGCCCTTCAACCCTCGGCACACGAACCGACGGTTTTGACCCGAAACTGGTTTTGTCATGACTAGAACCGAATTATCTGTTAACATATTTCGATTTGACTTGTGAAAATTACTCTGGACTCGCTTATATATTTAAACAAGTCAAACTCAAATAGCTAATCGAACATGTATGCAATCAATTCTGTAAGAGTTTTTTCTTTGTCGAGGAAATAAGGCCAAATTAATTATTAGAGGTGAAATCAACAAAAAACAAATGAAAAATGGATAATGGACTATGCAATGGGACAAGCCCAATTAAATAGCCCGCAGGAGAAAGTGTGTGTCAAGCTTAATTATTCATCTCATTTGATACTTGTCAAGTCAGCCCACTAAGAATTTAAAAGGAAAGAGTGTATTGGGCCACATTATATACTCAACTGATAAACATTTAGTAAAGGCACATTTGTCATTTGACAATAGTGCTGTATACGAACCGAACCGAGCTTGGATTATTCGAGCTCGTGTTCATTTACGTTAGAACAATGTTCGTGTTCGTTCGTTTATTTTTTAAGCAAAAAATTGTGTTCGAGTTCGTTCGTTTAATTGTTCGTCAAAGTTCGAGTTCGTTTGTGTTCAAATAGTTTAATACATAAACTTTTAAAAATGTTTGATTAACTCGAAATTTGTCTTTCGACCTCAAAAATAAAAAAATAAAAATAAAAATATTTTTATATTTTTATATTTTTTATTAAAAATATTATGTAAATATATAAAAAAATAAAATAAAATTACAATAAATTAGGTTCACGAACATTATCGAACGTTCGCGAACGAGCTTGTGTTTGTTCAATTATTATACAAGCCTAATTTTCTATTCGAACTCGGCTCGATTAACAAACGAACGATCTTTTGTCGAACATGAACGAGCTCGAACGTTCGGTTTGTTTACAACTCTATTTGACAATAAAAGATTGTCTTCTTTTCTCTCACTACGATCATTGCTTTTCCACCATTGTTGTCAGATGAATAAATTTGACCCGAATCTTAAGATATCCAACCCGAAATTAGATGAGGCTAAAAAAAAAAAAAATACATGGGGCTATGTATAAAATTTTTTAAAAAATAAAGTTGGCAATTTTTTTTATTTTTTCTTACATGGGGCTGGAGCCACCCTAGCCTATGGGTGGCTCCGCCCCTGTATAAACTAGTGCATAGCCCGTGCAATGCACGGGGTGTACAATTTCAGGGCTATTTACCCAATTTTTTTATTATATTCGTGAATAAAATTAAATAATTAGAATAAAAAATTAATATTATATTATTAAAAGTTTTCATGGAGACAATATTATTTGCCTTCTAACCACATCATTCTCGTTGTAAACTAATATTTTCAATCTATTTCTATTAGTGACACGGGAAATAGATACATACAACTGGTCATGACTGAATACCAGTTTCTTGAAAAAACATGCTAACATGTGATAAAAACTGACGCTGACTCTTGTTAATCAAATTGCGAATCTCGTGAACACCATGACCAACAATTCGTGAACACCATGACCAACAATTAGCTCGGTTAACATTCTTCGAAGTAGCTAATTGGTTATTAACATAAATATGTATTTGTTAAACATTAAAATATGTATTTTAAATGTATTTGTTAAACGTTATAATATGTATTTTATATTTTATATTTGTATAAAATAAATTAAAATACTAAAATTTAATATTGTGTTAAATTATAAATGTATTTGTTAAACATTAAAATATGTATTTTAAATATATTTACATTACAATTAACAAAACATAAATATATTATAAACTAATTTAACGAAAATACCTCCCCGTGGTTTTGTTTGGAAAAAATGAACAATGAGCAAATGTGGATGACGATCATTGTCATATTCCTTTTCAATTTCCAAAAGTCGATCAACGAATCACCTCATAGTATGAAATTAATATTGTTTCTCCCAAACGTTCATTTAAATAAATTATTAAAATAATTTTTAGAAAAAAATATATAATAAATAAAATAAAAATTGTTATTGTCGATCATTGAGAGAAAACACAATCATTTGTGTTGGGATGCCATCAACCTCTTTAATTTGCATCAATCCAATTTCAACAATCAGATCAATTATATCTACAATTAAATGGTAAATTAATTATTTTTCAAAGCATACTCAATTATGCATACAAAATACGACAAAATTAAATACATAGATTAATGTATTACCAACGAGCACTGTTTGATCTTGTCGAAGACCATAATGGAGAGTAGCAAAGCTTCATAAATCACAAAAAGTTAGGAAATTCTCCTTTGAAACTAACAAAGTTGGTCATACCGTGGATCACAATTTTAAATTGTGTAATTGTTATCGCACTTTCTTCACAGTTCTACGAAATTATTTTTTATTTACAGATATTTTTATCCATTATGCAAAATACTATGCGATATATCGCACATTGTTCATTTCATTTTAAGTCGCATATTGTTCGCAAAATTGTTTATTCTTTAGTTATTTTCGACATTCTCTTATTCGGACACAACGTGAAATATCGCACTTTGTTCGCAGTTTTGCGAATAAATGTTGTGTCTTTTCGACTCATAAGATTAATCACAACAGTTTTGCTGAAAAAACGCGTCCTTCCATTATATGTTTGTCGCATGTCGAATTTTGGACCGTTTGGCGTGTGAATAGTCTGCCTCTTCTCTGAAACATCTCCTCAATGCATTAAGGACAACGACTCGCGTACCAAGGATGTTAGATATCTTCTTCGCATTTTTTATTACCTTTTGTTATGCAAACGACTATGCGATTATCGCACTTTCTTCGCAGTTCTACAAAATTCTTTTAATATTTATGGATAATTTTTTATCTGGAAACAGTTGATCCATCAAAGAAAAATCTCCCATTTGGTGGCAAGTGTGTTGTGTTAGGTGGGGATTTCAGACAGATACTCCCCGTTGTCCCTAAAGGCAGTCGAAGCGACATAGTTAATGCGACCATCAATTCATCCAAGTTGTGGCGCGATTGTATCGTTCTAAGACTTACTCGCAATATGAGGCTTCGAAGCCTTGGTGGGGGCGATGAGTACGATGAGTTGAGGAACTTCTCTGAGTGGCTTGCAAACAACGTCGGCGGTATAGTCGATGAATCGAACGACGGTTGTGCCGATATCGACATCCCCGACGATTTTCTTCTACACTCACAGGGAGATCCTATTGGTACTATTGTTGAGAGTACCTACCCCATGTTCAGGATTGCAGGTGACGATCTTAGCTATCTGAAGGACAGAGCCATACTCGCTCCCACACTTGATGTGGCTGAGTCCATTAACGAGTGCATGAACTCACTGAACTCATCCGAGGGAAGGACTTACTTGAGTTCAGACACCCCGTGCAAGTCAGATGCTGGATATGATTCTCTTCAGGATCTTCACACTCCTGAGTTTCTCAATGGGATCAAGTGCTCTGGCCTTCCGAATCATAAACTGCACCTCAAGGTCGGCACTCCAGTGATGCTTATCAGAAACATTGATCACTCCATGGGGTTGTGCAACGGTACTGTTCATCAAAATTCAATTTGTCATCTACATTTCCTTTTATCTTTGTACAAATTTGAGTGATATGATTTTGTTTTCCGAGTTTTGATGTCAACAGGTACACGGTTGGTTATCACTAAGCTTAGCAGTCATGTCCTCGAATGCAGGATTTTAACCGGTACCGTTCAAATTTTAGCGCAGACAATTTCCGC